AGTTTTTGGTTTCCTTGGGAGGCTGGACCTGCACTCCCAGGACTCCCAATATACCGGTTTAGGGTTTAGGGTTTAGGGTTTAGGGTTTGGGGTTTAGGGTTTAGGGTTTAGGGTTAGGGTTTAGGGTTTAGGGTTTCGGGTTTAGGGTTGGAGGAGCCCAACGAGGCCCTTGCGCAGAAGCCACTTGATGAGACTCCACCTACCCGAAGAACTTGCTCTGAACAGCGGCCTTCTAACCCCTTCCCCTTCTACTAACACCCCCCCTATGCCCTTAACCTTGTGATGCCGATATGCCCCTTAACTTGTTTGAAAGGGAACCCTTTAGGGTTTAGAGTTTAGGGTTTTATGGTTTAGGGTTTAAGGTTTAGGGTTTAGGGTTTAGGGTTTAGGGTTTTAGGGTTTAGGGTTTAGGGTTTAGGGGCGAACCTCAAGCCTCAAACACTGTATTGTATGTATACTGAGATAGAATACGTGCATATATGTAATATATTCACAACCACATGTACACATATATATATATATATATACACTTCGTAAGTGGTGTACAAAAGTGTAGGAGCCAACTTCTTGCCCAATTTTGTCCAATTGAAAGTTCACATGCGCTCAGATGAAGCCCCTGAAGCCAATAAACTCGAACCTCCTAAGCCCTTCACCTCAAACCCTATACGGGGGTTTCTGGGTTTAGGGTTTAGGGTTTAGGGTTTACCCTTTTCACCTCAAACCCTATACTAAATCAGTGTTAGGGATCCTTTTTGCTTTTTGGGTTATGGGCTTTCTTATATATAAGCAAAAAGGATCCTTTTTTCTTCCTAGGGGAACAGGGATTAAGTATACGGGGGTTTCTGAAAAGAGGGGTACCCTTTTGGGGTTCCTCTAATAAGGATTATGCAAATCTTGAGGGTGCATGAAGGGTACCCCCTCACATTTGGGGAAATTGCCTATACCCTCAAACCCTAAACCCTAAACCCTAAACCCTAAACCCTAAACCCTAAACCCTAAACCCTAAACCCTAAACCCTAAACCCTAAACCCTAAACCCTAAACCCCAAACCCCAAACCCTAAACCCTAAACCCTAATCCCTAAACCCTAAACCCTATATTGCAAACCTTCAGCCTGTTTCCAGGCTTGCCTGCCAGCTACCCTGGCGAAGATCGACTGAGGGCCGACCTACAGATCGTCACTGGCACGATGCTTGGCTTAGAAGGTGCAGGGCTCTAAAGGCGGTTTAGGGTTTAGGGTTTAGGGTATGGGGTTTGGGGTTTAGGGTTTAGGGTTTAGGGTCTAGGGCTTAGGGTTTAGGGTTCCAGGGGTAAATTCCTAAACCCTAGACCCTCTAGAGGCCTTTTGTTGAAAGGGGGTTTTAGGGCCCTCTTTTCAGGGGTTCTAGGGGCAAAACTCCTAAACCCTAAGCCCTCTAAAGGGCCTTTTTTGAGGAGTTGTGGGCTCTAAAGCTGTAGGGTTGAGGGTCAGGGCTGAGGGTGGGTGCAGGGTGTTCTGCCCACAGTGTTTCGATGGGTTGAATGGTTTAAGGTTTGCCCCGGTTTATGGCAGGGACAAGTTCTAGGCCGTCCTCTTGCACATTCCGCGAGTTTAGGCCCTTGTGTTCTGAATGTGACTCTAAGCCCTATAAACTCGAAACCCCAAGACCCTAAGCTCAAGCCCAAATCCCCCCCCCCCCCCGCGTACTTAAAGCCCTGGCAGCACGAATTCTTGTAGACCAAGCTGCTGGGAATTCGGGCCAAGTAATGTGATCCCTGTTCTCGTGTGTCTTTCTATGAAAGAAAGGACTGTATCAGGGTTTAGGGATACATGTGTAGGGTTCAGGGTGTTTGCCAACGACCTAAGCCCTTAGCGAAATTTAAAGCATGCGTGAGATTCGAGAGCCTTTCTGTCTGTTGTGTTGCACTCGATGCCAAAACCATACCCCTCATGCCCGAAACCTTAAACCGTAAACCCTAAAACCCTAAACCCCCTAAGCCCCAAAACCCCACACCCTAAAACCCTAAAACCGTCAACCCTCAACCCGTAAACTATAGCTCGTAGCTCCACTTGGAGTTTCATGGGTGCTTATAAGCAGGGTTTAAGTACCCTGAATAAGATTAGAATTGCAGCACTAGACTTATAACCCCCCTTATAACTACCCATGAACCCCTAAACCCTAAACCCTAAACCCCAAACCCCAAACCCCAAACCCTAAACCCTAAACCCTCAACCCTAAACCCTAAACCCTAAACCCTAAACCTGCAAGTACGGACTCAGCCTTGCGGCCTTGTGGTGTGCCACACCGAGGAAGCCCAGCGAGCCTTTGTTCTACAGCTCCTGGGAGAAGTGGCGCGCCCCGCAAGCCCCCAAACCCAGCGGGGTTTAGGGTTTAGGGTGTAGGGTTTAGGGTTTAGGGTTTAGGGTTTAGGGTTTAGGGTTTAGGGTTTAGGGTTTAGGGTTTAGGGTTTAGGGTTTAGGGTTTAGGGTTTAGGGTTTAGGGTTTAGGGGTTCGGCGTTTTAGGATTTAGGGTTTTAGGGTTCCGGGTTTTAGGGTTGAGGAGTTGGGGGCTGAGGGTTGAGGAGCCTCAATAGAAAAGGGCACGCAAGAAGGGGCGATCATTCTCCTGCCCAGCGAATGCAGAGCATTAAGGGGTAGAAGGAGGGACCGTTAATCTTGCTCCACTATATAACCCCTCCATTTTCCTTTTCTTTAGTCCCTAGGTATACCTAAGTTGCCCCTAGATAACCCCAAAGTAACCCCAAAGTAACACCTAAGGTCCCTTATAAGGGTCCCTTCTTTTGACTGAGGCGACCGCCGCAGCATCCCAACTTCCGATTCCGGGGCGGAGCCACGCCGCCTCTGCTAGAGGATCGGTGCTCTCAGGGTTCTGGGTAACGTTTAGGGTTTAGGGTTTGGGGTTTGGGGTTTGGGGTTTAGGACCACCCCAAGCCCCATCCGAAACCATGATCCTACACCCTACACCCTTATACCTACACTCGCAACCCTGAACTCGACCCTAACCCTGAACTCTAGACCCGACATAAATCCTGACTTCTCATCCCTAATCCCAGTACCCTGAATCCCGAAACCCCGAGTCCCGAAACCTCAAACCCTTACCTAACTACCAGCCCCAAGACCAAAAACCCTAAACCCTAAACCCTAAACCCTAGCCCTAAACCCTAAACCCTAAACCCTAAACCCTAAACCCTAAACCCTAAACCCTAAACCCTAAACCCTAAACCCTAAACCCTAAACCCCTACCGGGCTCCCAAGCCGCTGGCTCGTCATGACAGTTCCGGACTTGGGGCTTGGGGGCTTGGAGGATGAAAACCCTAAACCCTCCTAATTCCCGAATTCGCGACTAAGAGCTAGCAAGCTCGTGGTTAATTTCCCCAGAAACCCCGTGCAGTGTCTTCAATAAATACACGCCCCATAGAGCTGGAGCCAGGAGTGAGTGACCTCATCGTTGCGTCGTCTCATCTGTGCCTCGGGAAGCTATTCAAGTCTCATGTCCCAAAGCTGAATGTCGGGTTTAGCGCAGGGCTGCGAGAATGTTCAAGGTCGAGCCTTTCCCCATACTTCCAGGGACCTAATCGTTAGGTTACTAGAACTGAACCCTTAAGGACCTGGAAGTATGGGGTTTGAGAAGCTTCAAGCAGCACGCAGAACCGTGCATCTGTCGCCTGGGCCACAAGCCCAAGCATGCGTGGATTTTTCAGATGTCGGCCGGAGGGTTTGCTGTGTCTGTGTCTTGTTTTTATCGTTCTTTTTGTGTGGGGGGGGGGTTCAGGGTGTCGTGGCTGGATCCTCTCCTGCTGTCTCGTCAGCTAAGGTATCAAAGACTGAGGGCCACCTCACCTCCCCCGAGTCAGCTGGCCCTCCCGTGAAGTGCCCCCTCAGAGGGCGCCGGGGTGGCAGAGGAGATGGCATGAACATCTTCCTGTCCGGAGTTCACAATCTTCCCTCGGATGCCATTCCCTGCTGGACTTTGGATCACCCCTCTTCTTCCCGCGGCTTTGGTTGGCACCAACCGCCGCGGAAGTACGAGAATCCACCGAGGACGACCTGGCTCGCGCTGATTGGGTTTCTGGCTGATTGGTGATAGCAGGCTGTCATGCCGTCTCCGGCAGCTTCGCTGCTTGCGCGCCGAAGGATGTGGGGCGCCAACTCACGGCGCTCCCGAAAAAGCCCTTAAAGTTCTAAATTTGCGACCCTAAAACCTGACACCCTAAACCTTAGACCCAAAACCTATTAAACCGTAAACTCCCCTGCCCCCAATCTCTGATAGGGCCGGGTCTGATAGGGCGTAGCCAGACCACTCTCGGCGCTGTCACAAGTCAGCGAATCTCAGAACACGGGGCAGCCCACCCGTTAACCCAAATCCTCCCTTCAAGTGCTGAAGTCAGGTCGCACACTCCGGAGTCTGAACCTACAGCGCATCTGCTATGTTTACGTTTACAGGAGTTCTAGAGGTTGGAGTGGCTCATAGATTGTTTGGCAGAGCTGACTTCCCAACACTCCCTACTACGAACCGGTACGTAAGGCCCCTTTCAGGGCGGCCAAACCTGAAACCCTAAACCTCAAACCCCAAACCCCAAACGCCAAACCCCAAACCCCAAACCCCAAACCCCAAACCCCAAACCCCAAACCCCAAACCCCAAACCCTAAACCCTAAACCCTAAACCCTAAACCCTAAACCCTAAACCCTAAACCTTTTATCGGGTTCAGGCTCAGGTCTTCAGGTGTCTCCTGGATGTGCTGCCATCCTCGCCTCGCCCGGCCTTGTATGCTCAAGCCACCCCTGGATCGGTTAGGGTTTAGGGTTTCCTGAACCCCCAAACCCTAAACCCTAAACCCTAAACCCTAAACCCTAAACCCTAAACCCTAAACCCTAAACCCTAAACCCTAAACCCTAAACCCTAAACCCCCAAACCCTAAACCCTAAACCCTAAACCCTAAACGCTTGGCTTCCGCACTCCATGGTGGCGTGACAGCGCAGATGCTGGCAGCTCGAGACATGCGGGAGATTCTGCCGGCTTTTTTGTTTTCGGCTCGGGGGGGGAAGGGGGGGGAACCTGCAGGGGGGTTTTAGGGTTTAGGGTGTAGGGTTTAGGGTTTAGGGTTTAGGGTTAGGGTTTAGGGTTTAGGGTTTAGGGTTCAGGGTTTAGGGTTTAGGGTTTAGGGTTTAGGATTTAGGGTTTAGGGTTTAGGGTTTAGGGTTTAGGGTTTAGGATTTAGGGTTTAGGGTTTAGGATTTAGGGTTTTGGACTTTGGGCAGGAGCCTTCTTGGAACGCACCATCTGCGCACATGTCCGGACTTGGGGCGGGGCTGTGTAGCTATTGCCAGGTGTCGGGTGTGAAAGGAGGCGAGGAGGTGGTAAGATGGCGTTGCAGAAGCTAGTCCTAGACGTTGAATCCTTGCTGGCGCTGGCGGCGGTGGTGCAGGCGAGCGTTGCGTTTGGACCCTCCCTCTCTCTCTCTCTTTTTCCCTGTCTCCTTCCCTAGCAAGGTGGAGCCCGCATATTTTCTTTGCCCAGGTCTAGGAGGCTCTTCTTTCGGAATTCTCTCAGATGACCTTATGGACCAATCTAGCGAAGAAGGGTGTAAGGTTTATGGTCTAGAGCCGTTCACGTAGGGTTCAGGGCTCGAGGGTCGTGGGGGGGCCGACAACATGCCGATTTCCAGGACCAAGCCCCTCAAACCACGATGCAGCTGAATTCGGCGGTCGCCGCGTGTGCGAAAGGCCTGCGAAGAATGAGCGATTAGTGTTGAATACAGCAGGTCTAAGCTACCACCAAGTTTATCCCCCTGTCATTCCGACATGTTCCTTGCACAGGCTGCCCGAAATATAAACCCTAAGTCCTAAACCCTGAAACCTAAACCCTAAACCCTGAAACCTAAACCCTAAACCCTGAATCCTAAACCCTAAACCCTGAACCCTAAACCCTAAACCCTGGACTGCTGCACAATGGTTTCACGAGGCCTGCAGCGAGAAACTCAAGCACGATGTGTGTCCGGACACATGAGATGCAGGAATATTGGACCCCTAACCGCTTGGCCTAACTTAGCCACAAGCCCCAGATCCTAGGGTTCAGGGTTTAGGGTTTAGGGTTTAGGGTTTAGGGTTTAGGGTTTAGGGTTTACGGTTTAGGGTTTAGGGTTTAGGGTTTAGGGTTTCAACTCCAAGTGCCAATGGAAGACGCTCCTCATCCTTATCCCTTCATGCCACTTGAGTGCCCATGCCTTTACCAGGGCCGGAGAACGCGGGTCACCGCATTCCAGTGACATTTCGTGAGTCAACATCAAAGTTGCTGTTGAACCCTAAGCCCTAAATCCTAAACCCTAAACCCTAAACCCTAAATCCTAAATCCTAAAGCCTAAGCCCTAAATCCTAAACCCTAAACCCTAAACCCTCTGGGGTTTGAGGGAGTCTAGGGCTGAGGGATCGGGCTTCGAACACGGGTTTTTAGGGTTTAGGGCTTCGTGCTTGCCACAGGCAAGCAGTGGCAAAAGGCGCTGAGCCTCATCGCACGTGCAGAGGCCATAGCCTTTGGTTGATGGGCTTCAGGGCGAATGCATCATGGGATGTTGCCTTGGAATTGGGTGTATATAGGGTTTAGGGTTTAGGGTTTAGGGTAAAAGCTACTGGACCCGTGTACGGGGGCAGCAGTATTTCCTTTGGCTCATCTCAAAGGCTCGCACAATATTATCGGCATTCTTGGCGATGGCCCCATTCGGGGCTAGGGCTGTCGCAACCATAGGCACTCAACCCAAACCCCTAAGCCTTGAACCCTAAACCCTAAACCCTAAGCCTTGAACCCTAAACCCTAAACCCTAAACCCTAAACCCTAAACCCTAAACCCTAAACCCTAAACCCTAAACCCTAAACCCTAAGCCCTAAGCCCTAAGCCCTAAGCCTTGAACCCTAAACCCTACATGTCGTAAAAGTGGGCCTCCATGACATGGACACCACTTGCAGCACGGGTGTCGCAATCTGCGCCTGTGCCAGACAAGAAGACCCGTCAACTAGCTCACCCTCGACCCTAGACCCTAGACCCTAGACCCTAGACCCTAGACCCTAGACCCTAGACCCTAAACCCTAAACCCTAAACCCTAAACCCTAAACCCGACTCACGGAGGTGTCCGGGCCGCGGGCCGATGTCATCACGCCCTTGAGCTGCAACAGCACGCGTGCAGATTCCTGTACTGTAGGGTTTAGGGTTTAGGGTTTAGGGTTTAGGGTTTAGGGTTTGGGGTTTAGGGTTTAGGGTTTGGGGTTTAGGGTTTAGGGTTTAGGGTTTAGGGATTAGGGTTTAGGGTTTGGGTTTAGGGTTCTTATCCGTAACCCTACTTGGAGGTTCATGGGTAGTTGTAAGTAAGGTTCTAAGTATGGTAGCTGCAATTATAACCTTACTCAAGGTTCTTTTAACCCTACTTATAACCACCCATGAACCTCCAAGTATGCCCTGAACCTACATTCAGCCCTACATACCCTAAAGACCTAAGTCAAACTGAAACACCGCAGAACCCTAAACCCTAAACCCTAAACCCTAAACCCTAAACCCTAAACCCTAAACCCTAAACCCTAAACCCTAAACCCTATACCCTAAACTCTCCATGATCAGCTGCTTCCGAGCTCATGGAGCTGGCCTATGCCTTTACTTGATTTAGCGCTGGGAGCATGCGCAGGGTAGCCATAGCTTAGGTTTAGGGTTTAGGGTTTAGGGTTCAGGGTTTAGGGCTTAGGGCTTAGTGCTTAGGGCTTCGGGCTTAGGGTTTAGGGTTTAGGGCACTTGCAATCTCCCAGGAACCTGACATTCCTGATATTCGTCAAAAAGACCTGCAAGCTTTATGCCTTAAAGACGGTCCCAAGACAGTTGACTGCGATTTGGGGCGTTTGTTCAGACCCCCAAACCATCCGCAACAGCTTCGTGGACCGACTTGGACTTCCTTGTGAAGTGTCGCAGAGCGCCCGCAGCTAGCTAGAAACTCCGTAATGCGGGGGACTTGGAGGCTTGCAACCGACGCCGAAACCCCAGATGCGAATCCCTAAGGTCACTTTAAACCTTGAACCTTCAAAACAAAACCTAAACTCTAAGCCCCACTTAACCTGTAGAGTCCCGAGCCCCTGACTTTGACCCCAGGTACAATGCCGGCATGAATGCTTGTGCACGAGGACTGCAGGTCCGGGGCTGGCGTGGGGCGGTGTACTGTAGAGGCGCAACCCAGGATTTAGCTAGGACCCAGAAAAGGTTCTTTTTCCCCTCTGTTTAAGGGTCTAGGTTCCCTTGTAAGCCGCTTTTGACCAAGAAGGCACCACTTTTTATTCCGAGCTTACGCTTGGGTCTAGTTAGGGTTAGGGTTTTGTCAGAGGTGTTGTGTCTTTAGAGGTTTAGGGGTTTGGAGGTTAAGGCTTCTAGAGGTCGTGGTAGCCCAGTGGTACACTTACCTTGTTTTTTTCTGTTTATAGTTTCCCTTATAAAATAACCAACCCAAAAAAGGGTGCCCTTATCATAATATGGTTACGGGGCTACCATGAGGTTCAGGGTCAGACGCAGATGGTTCGCAGCCTGGGAGAGGAAACGGAGCGGAGGACCAGTGAGCCGCCTAAGGACTATGTGTGGTGGCGCCTCAACCTTAAACCGTAGACCGCAAAACCCTAATACCCTAATACCCTAACACCCTAAAACCCTAAAACCCTAAAACCCTAAAACCCTAAAACCCTAAAACCCTAAAACCCTAAAACCCTAAAGCCCTAAAGCCCTAACACCCTAAAACCCCAAAACCCCAAAACCCTAAAACCCTAAAACCCTAAAACCCTAAAACCCTAAAACCCTAAAACCCTAAAACCCTAAGCCCTAAAAGCCCTAAAACCCTAAAACCCTAAACCCCTAAACCCTAAACCCTGCCCCAGGAAAGCAGTGGCAGCTCTCGCTGATCTTGCTGCAGACGATCGACCGTAAGTCCATCTTGAGCAACACCATCTCCTACAACACAGTGCCTTCCCACGCAGACCATGTTTAGGGCTCAGGCCAGGGTTTGGGGTTTAGGGTTTAGGGTTTAGGGTTTAGGGTTTAGGGTTTAGGGTTTAGGGTTTAGGGTTTAGGGTTTAGGGTTACTGTCTAGGGTTTAGGGTTTAGGGTTTTAGGATGTAAGTTTTAGGGTTTAGGGTTTTAGGATTTAAGTTTTAGGGTTTAGGGTTTTAGGATGTAGCCCCAGGGCCAAGCCTTCCCTAATGAGAGTTCAGGCTTGAGGGCTTAAGGTTTCTGGCCCCCCCCCCCCCCTCCCCTCCCCCTTCGCCCCCTCTTCCCGTTTTTGGAACGAAGGTTCCCTTCTACACCCGCCGGTGAAGAAAGAGCGCTGAATATTTTACAACTCCCACTTACTGCTGGCTAGCACCTAGAATTCCATTCCCCGAGCCCCCGAAGTTTCAGCCCGCCAAGGAGATTCAGAGTTTAGGGTTGAGGGGGTTCACAGATCTTCGTGGGTCTAGGGGATTTTGGGTTAAGGGGAGGCTTGAACCCTAAACCCTAAGCCCTAAGCCCTAAGCCCTAAGCCCTAAACCCTAAACCCTAAACCCTAAACCCTAAACCCTAAACCCTAAACCCTAAGCCCTAAACCCTAAACCCTAAACCCTAAACCCTAAACCCTAAACCCTTGGTGTTGGCTTAGGGGAGTTTAGGAAAGAAGGCCATCAGTGCATGCGAGCGCGCCGGCCGCTGGGACTCGGCCTTGGCGCTTCTTGCTTCTTGACAGCGTTCTTGTGGCTTACGCGGAATCTAGCAGGGTTTAGGGTTTAGGGTTTAGGGTTTAGGGTTTAGGGTTTAGGGTTTAGGGTTTTGGGGTTTTGGGGTTTAGGGTTGGCTTACGTAATCTACTATTTGCTTAAACTGTCATTCCTTATAAGAGGAAAATCGGATAATTAGGGATGATTATCTTATTTTTTTGGGGGGTTCTTAAGCAAATGGTAGAAATGCATGGGCGCTTGCATTGGCAGGGAGGTTCTCTGAAGTATGGACCATCTTTGCGTACCATTAAAGTCAAAAGAAGGCTCCGTATAGCAGGAACCCCACAAGGGATCATGATTGACAGAAGCCCCCACGTGTCCATGCAAGCAAGTGTATACACACATGTAGCAACAGCAAGTGTACAACAAACATGTGAATTCAACCCCCCTCTCTCTCTCTCTCTTTCATTCTAGGTGTTATACCAACCCTTGGCCTATTCAATGAGAAGAGTTGTTTGGGTAGTTTACCAGGATGGGCTATTAGGCCCTATCATTCCCAGATATCAACTCTATAAAGGGCCTCTTTAAGAGGTTATCGGGGGGCCCTATCATCCCCATAATTAACTCCATAAAGGGCCTCTTGAAGAGGTTGTAGGGTTTAGGGTTTAGGGTTAGAGGCTCTAGCCCGTCCTGGTACACTTTCTCTCCCCGGGAGAAGCCTGGACTAACGCCTTCCCGAAGGTCCATCCGCCACCTCTGGAGAGTCTTAAGGTGGGCTTGTGTCCACCTAAGGGTTAGGGTTTAGGGTTTGGGGTTTCGGGTTTAGGGTTTAGGGTTTGGGGTTTAGGGTTTAGGGTTTAGGGTTTAGACCCTGATCTTTTGAGACCTCCAACCTTGGTAGTACCCCTTTTTTGGGGTTCTCGTTCCCAAACATCGCCAACCCAAAAAGGGTACCGTTGTTATAAGATGGTTCCTAGGCGACCAAGAAAGCTTGAACCTTACACCCCGAATCCTGAACCCTAAGCCCTAAGCCCTAAGCCCTAAGCCCTCAGCCCTACGCCCTAAACCCTAAACCCTAAACCCTAAACCCTAAACCCTAAACCCTAAACCCTAAACCGCAAGGTCTTGGCCGCAGGGCACTCTGTGGAGTGTGACGTGATTACATACAACACGGCCCTCAGCAGCTGCGAGAAAGGCGCAGTGGGAAGTTGTCGACCTGACTGAGAAGTTCAGAGGATTTTAGGGCTTATGGGGTTTAGGGTTGAGGGTATTTTAGATGTTTTCTGGGGTAGACCTGACTGAGAAGTTCAGAGGATTTTAGGGTTTATAGGGTTTAGGGTTGAGGGTATTTTAGATGTTTTCTGGGGGGCCGCCAGCTGGCTCTTTCAACTTCTCGCCCCAAAGCCTAACACCTACATGGGGGTTTACGAAAATATGGGTCCGCAGATAGTAGGATTTCCTTATAATCCGGACCCCAACAAGGCGCCCCTTTTCGGAAACAACCATATAGACCCGAAACCTTTCAGAAAACCCTAAACCCTAAACCCTAAACCCTAAACCCTAAACCCTAAACCCTAAACCCTAAACCCTAAACCCTAAACCCTAAACCCTAAACCCTAAACATAGCCCGCAGTAGGCTCCCAGTGGCAGCGCGCTTTGCAGCTACTCTGCGAGTTCCCCACCTTGGCATTGCAACCTGACCTGGTCACCTACAACAGCACGCTTCCTGGCTCTGGCTTCGGATTCTCCCCTTTCTAGGAGCTACCCTAGGCCCGAAACTCTCCCTAAACCCTAAACCCTAAACCCTAAACCCTAAACCCTAAACCCTAAACCCTAAACCCTAAACCCTAAACCCTAAACCCTAAACCCTAAACCCTAAACCCTAAACCCTGAACCCTAAACCCTAAACCCTAACATCCTACGCGTGTGGTGATTCTGGAACCGTGCAGGCTGGGGATTGCATGCTCGTCCCTCCACACATCCTAACCAGCCCCGGGGGCCCATTTGTTGTGCCATCATACAACTATCTTAGGGGAGTTATATGAAGCAGGGTTTATATTACTGTTCTTGGTGAGTGTATATAAGGTTCCTTTTGAATTTTGGTGAGTGTATGTACCTGGTGTCCTTTTGGGGGTACAAGAAATATATACCCTACTTCATATGAGCCCTTAATATGGTCCGTTACCTCCCTCAAAGGGTTCTGATGTATGGGTGCTTGGGTTGTATAGGGTATAGAAGGGGTCCCTTTCTAAGGGCCCATACTCAGGGACCGTGTAACTACCCCAAGAAACTAGGCCTAATTACTTTGGGATTTGGGGTTTGGGCTCTTGGGTTTTGGGGGCTTTAGGGTGTATGGGTGCCCAATTGCGGAATAGTGGTGCAATCGAACCACAGAATCACAGTTGTGCTGTTTACACTCAGTGCGGGGTTTTGAGGTTCATCCGCCCCCCTCATTCCAAGTTGAAGCCGTCATTCGAAGCCCCAAACCCCACACCGCAAAAGTCGTAACTTTGAAGCCCTAACCCCATATTTAACCCTAAACCCTAAACCCTAAAACTTTAATCCCCCTGCCCCTGAACCCGAAATCCCGAGGATCAGTGCCCTCTCCGGAACGGATCGCTGGGAGGCCGCCATCAGCTTCCTGGAACAGATGCAAAGCAGGTGGGCTTGTTTGTTTTGGGGTTTTGGGAGCCTTTGGGGTGAGGGTTTAGGGTTTAGGGTTTAGGGTTTAGGGTTTAGGGTTTAGGGTTTAGGGTTTAGGGTTTAGGGTTTAGGGTTTAGGGTTTAGGGTTTAGGGTTTAGGGTTTAGGGTTTAGGGTTTAGGGTTTAGGGTAGCCCCTCTCCCTGCCCAGGTTACCCGGGATCCTAGGTCATGGCCTGTTCGGCGCCGCCTTCAGGCAGGTTACTTGCGACGTGGTGACCTACACCGCGCTGATCAGCTTGTGCGAGAAAGGCCGGCTTGTAATAGGGTTTAGGGTTTGGGGTTTGGGGTTTAGGTTTTAGGGTTTAGGGTTTAGGGTTTAGGGTTTATTTAGGGGGCTGAGGGTGTACGCAGAATAGCTTAATAAACCCTTCATAGCCTGATTTATTGGGCATCACTGCGTTTTGAGAACAGTCCACTCTGTCATTCTAAGTAGAGTTTATGGCCATAGAGGGGTTTGGGGCACCCTGTTTGTGCTGTTGCTGTGTGAGCTCTTGTCAACGTCAGGTTGTCCAAATTGAGGGAAAGGCAACCATCACTGGGGCTTATAAGCAGAGCATCTGCAGAACATAAGTGTGACAATTTTTTCGGACTTACCCTACATAAAGCTGCCCATGAACCTTCAACAACTCCCTCAGCCCTCTCCCAATTAACTGACCTCGCAGTATGGTAATCCGGTACGAGCGTTTCCCAAAATAGGGGTCCTGTGCATATACCCCAATGTGCCTGTATCCTTGCTGTAGGAACCCCTGCAAATGGGTGGCCCTACAGGTTCTGGCATCAAGGACCCTGATAAGGGACCATAGGCGTTCTTTGGGGGTGATTTGGGGGCTACTTAGGTAAAAAGGGACGAAAAAGTATATAAAAAGGGGTTAAAAAGGGAAATAAGATTAAGGGTTTTCTTCTAGGGGTCCCTTAACATCAGGTGCGCACTGGCAGCTGGCGATTGCTTTGCTGACGCAGATGGCCGTGCTGCGCATCCAGAGCCACCTGCTGCAACTGCTCGCAGTTTGTGGTTGCACTCGAGGAGTCGTATATGGTCTACCACTACTTGAACTTTCAGGAATACGAGAAGACTTACAAGAAGGGTTATAACCCACCCCGCCCCCCGGCCCAAATGCTGTGAAAAGGCATAAGCCCTCACCCCAGCTATAACTATCAATCAACATTCAGGTAGACGCTGTGGCCAGGGGGATGTCATGTCATACAGATCCCAAAGGCAATGACCATCATGCTGTTTAGACGCAAGACGAACCAATTGCGTGTATTCCATGGATTCAAGCTCTACGAAAAGTGGAGAACGGAGGGCGCGGCGCGCATATGCGACAAAGCTTACAGCGAAACAAGCCCATGAGCAGTCCTAGAGCAGAGTGCCCAGCTGCCCGGAAATGCCACGAAAAAGTTGCTCTCGGCATGGATTCAGGGCAACCTTTCCGAGACTCAGTGGCTTGCTCTTGCCGGTTCTTAAAGTAGGGAATGAGGGAATGGGGTGCCCTGTATCCCCCTATATATGCCCTTTAAGGGATTATGTAGGGTACCTGATTCCCCCCATTCCTTACAAAGAGCCAGGTGCTTCCTTGTGGATGGCGACCTATGATCCCCCCAGCAAACCCCTACGACCTTCTCTTCAGCAGCCCGAGCCCCGTGCCAATACCACGCAAAAGGGCCATCTCATCCAAGATCCTTTGCAACCTAAACTTAGGAGCCTCCGGCTCAGGCCGCCGACCCAAGAGGCCCTAAACCTCTCAACGCCCAAAGCTCAAATCCCCCCAACCCGAAGCCCTTAAAAACTCTGCAAGTTGTTTTGGGGGCAAGTGTCTTGGCCTGGCAGTGGGTGGGCTGGGGTGGGGGTGGGGGTTGGGGGGTGGGGGTGGGGGGTGGGGTTTGGGGGGTGGGGGGGGGTGGGGGTGGGGGGTGTGGGTGGGGTTGGGGGTGGTTGGGGGTGGGGGTTGGGGGTGGGGTGGGGTGGGGGTGGGTGGTGGGGGTGGGGTGGGGGTGGGGGTGGGGGTGTGGGGGTGGGGGTGGGGGTGGGGGTGGGGGTGGGGGTGGCCCCAGACCCCAGACCCCAAAAACCCTCAACATCCCTAAACCCCAGACCCTAAACCTTAAACCCTACAGCTGCAATCAAAATAGATCTCGTCAACGCCGAGGCAATGTCCTGACACAAAATGCAACCATCAGTGCGCTGGCCACCTGGCTGTTCGGGTTTAGGGTTTAGGGTTTGGGGTTTAGGGTTTGGGGTTTAGGGTTTGGGGTTTAGGGTTTGGGGTTTAGGGTTTGGGATTGGGGTTTGGGGTTTAGGGTTTAGGGTCTGGGGTTTAGGGTTTGATTTGGGGTTTAGGGAGTGGCCACCTGGCTGTTTGGGAGATTTCTGGCTTACGTTTTGGAAGCTGCCTAAATTACACGGGCCCTTTTTCTGCACCCTAGACTTCCATGGAGTACACTACAAAAAAAACTTCCCCCTTCCCCCTCCCCCCCCCCCCCTCCCCGCCCCAAACAAAAAGGAACAGGGAAAGAACACAAGACATCGCCCATATTGGGTTTAGGGTTTAGGGATTGTATAACAACATTCGAGTTCAACAACAATGGGATTGGGACAATCCACCAGAATGTCATTGTCAACGATGGACTCGCCAACACCTGGTCTTCGAACAGTGGATGGACATGTTGCATCCCCAGCATCTTTCCTCAACTTATCTCAGCGACATCCTGCGAGTGGTACAATCTTGGCTTCAATAACATGGGTTGTTTAACGTACAGAAAGATGCGTGCGTTTCCTTTGTTACAATTCAATGGCGACAACATTCCCAGGCCTCTAAGAATGCCCTCAAATTCCGGGACGTTACTTTTCTGCGCAGCATTCTTGATGGCTTTTTTGTACATGGTCGAGATCATGCTATTATCCGTGCACATGTCTTCTGCCCGCAGTTTGCCTGGAACGTTTACAAGCGCACCTTTGGAGACACTGATGTGTATCAACGACTTTGCCTGACGTATTCTCAAGCTGCTGTTTTCCTTAAGCTTAGCGCCCGGAAGGCTTCCTTAAAAGATACAAGTGGGGTTACCGGTCACCTGATCCGAGCATCCCTATTGCGTACGTCCTGTTCAAGCAGAAGAAATCTTTTCGGGCTGCTGGAGGTTTCCTCAGGAGCCCCTTTAGACCAAGAAAGTGGCACACTTTGTCATTCCTAAGGTTTCTCTTGACTCTCAAGGAAGAAGGATGTCCAGGCTTTCTAGATGTCGGGGCACTCTTTGGTCGAGTTGAGGGTTTAGGGTTGAGGGGGACTAGGGGCGGGATCCTTACATCTAATGGTCCTCCTTCTAAAACCCTAAACGCGAATACGGCCTGAACTCCAAACCCGACGCCCTAAACCCTAAACCCTAAACCCTAAACCCTAAACCCTAAACACTAAACCCTAAATCCTAAACCCTAAACCCTAAACCCTAAGCCCCAAACCCTGAACCCTAAACCCTAAACCCAGAACCTTTGGGCCCGCAGTGCTTGAAATCTGCTTGTATGGGTGAGAGCTTGTGCCCAGCCTGTGTCGAGGGTTGGGAGCTGTAAGGGCCGAAGGGTTTGGGGTTTGGGCTTTGGGGTTTGGGGTTTAGGGTTTAGGTTTAGGGTTTAGGGTTTAGGGTTTAGGGTTTAGGGCTTAGGGCTTAGGGCTTAGGGCTTGTGGCGTAAGAGCCGCGGCAACGCACAGGGCTTCGCAGAAGGCCCTGCGCACTAGAAACCGAACCACCCCCAAGAACTCAATAGCAGCGCGGAAGAGTACCCGCGAAGCCTCTATCCTAAACCCTACGAAGCCCTGTTAACGCTACGTAAGCACGGAAGGCCCTGAAACCCCCTAAGCCCGAAAAGTCCGAAACACCCTTATATAAAACCTCAAACCCAAGCCCTGTGCCCTGCCTAGAATAAGCCTCAGGCCAGAGGGCAGCAGTGGCGCGAAGCTTTGAGGTGCTGATTGCAATGATTATTACTATTACAGTATTAAGTATGGTGCATACTATTTTGTCTTATTATTGCTTCCTTTTTCAGTTAGAATTATTATTATTGACTATGGTGTATATTTATTTTTTCTTATTTTGCTTCCTTTTTCGAGAGGATGGCGGGTTTAGGGTTTTGGGGGTGGGTGTGGGCGGGTGGGTTGAGGTTGTCATTTGGTTGCTAAACGTCTTTAGGGGCGTCTTCGGGCTTGGGGTTTAGGGGTTTCGGGCTTGGGTTCTTTGGGCAGAAAGGGACGCTGTGGGGCCCAGTTGTCCTCTCCTTTTTGGGGGCTTGGGTGGTTTAATTAGGTTTGAGTTGTTTGCTGTATTTTGCGAGCTTATCAGTTGTTTGACGTGCAGGGCTTCAGGAAACCTTCATAGGCTTGTAGGGCCGCAACTGTTCCACTGTTCTTGCCCCTCAACCCTAAAACCTCAACCCTAAACCCTACAGCCTTAACCCTGAACCCTACACCCCAAACCCTGAACCCTGAACCCTAAACCCTAAACCCTAAACCCTAAACCCTAAACCCTAAACCCTAAACCCTAAACCCCGAACTCACCATTCCCTAGACAAAGCCGATGCTTGAAAGCCTTCGAGGCTCTTCGAGCGGCTCAGGGGCACCACGGCCGGGGTCAGTGAACTCTCCTATGGTGCTGCCTTGAGTGCGTGCGAGAAGGCCCCTAAACCCTAAACCCTAAACCCTAGACCCTAAACCCTAAACCCTAAACCCTAAACCCTAAACCCTAAACCCTAAACCCTAAACCCTAAACCCTAAACCCTAAACCCTACACCCTACACCCTACACCCTAAACCCTAAACCCTAAACCCTAAACCCTAAACTAAGTGAGGGGTCGCTTCCGTCGAGCGACAGACCCCGAACGCTCGGCCGAGGGCCTTACAGCCCGAGCGCCCAAGCGAAAAGAGAAACGGAAAGGTGAGGGTTAAGCCTCACCGTCTGTCCTGGACAGGCCAACGGACATCGGCCTTTTTTACGACAACGTCAGTACTCGGCTAAGGGATGGCCGGCACCCAGACCACCTTTAGCTAAGTATAACCCCAAATCGTAACCCTTTGCCTCTGAGGTCGGTTCAGGGTTTTGGGTTCAGGGTTTGTCGGGCCCCCCCCCCCGGGGGCCCCCTGGTCCCTGGTAGCTGGATTCCTGGACCAGGAGGCTGGCGAGGGGTCCAGGCAGGCTGGTTGCTCAATTTCGTGATTTTGGGGGCTTTTTCACATTTCCAACCCCGGGCCAAGGGCCCCCGGGCCAAGGGCCCCCCGGGCCAAGGGCCCCCCGGGCCAAGGGCCCCCCGGGCCAAGGGCCCCCGGGCCAAGGGCCCCCCGGGCCAAGGGCAAGGGCTTCAGGGTCACGGGCCCGCCGGGCCAAGGGCCCCCCGGGCCAAGGGCCCCCCGGCCAAGGGCCCCCCGGGCCAAGGGCCCCCCGGGCCAAGGGCCCCCCGGGCCAAGGGCCCCCTGGCCAAGGGCCCCCCGGGCCAAGGGCCCCCCCACCCAAGGGGCCCCCGGGCCAAGGCCCCCGAGGCCAAGGGCCCCCCGGCCTGGGGGACCCTTGCCTTGGCGGGGACCCTTGGCGGGGACCCTTGCCCTTGGCCGGGGGGCCCTTGGCCCGGGGGGCCCTTGGCCCTTGGCCCGGGGGGCCCTTGGCCCTGGGGGCCCGGGGGGCCCTTGGCCCGGGGGCCTTTGGCCAAGGGCGCAGGCCAAGAACCCCCCAAGCCAAGGGAGCCAAGGACTCAAGGACCGGCCAAGACCGTCAAGAACCCCCAACAATTCGTTTTCTTGGCCTTCCACCCTGCCAAGGGCCCCCCCAACCAGGGCTCGGCTAAGGGTCTAGGAAGCCCCCAAGAGGCGCCAAGAGCCACCAAAAGCTTCAAAAGCTTCAAAAGGCCCACTAAAAGAAGGGGGACCACAAGATTTGTCCGTGCCCACAATGAGAATATTGAAAACATTGTTTTTAGCCCCTGCCCGCCTTTTAGTATTGAAATCGATGGCTCCCCCTAAATCAGCAAGGACCTCTACGGGCCCACGTGCCGAAGGCCCGAAAAGGACCGAAACTACCCCGAACCCCAGCCTAAACCCTGACACCGCAAAACCCTACGACGGCCTTCAAGCAAATAAGGGCCTCTACGGGCCCTAACGTGCCGAAGGCCCGAAAAGGGCCGAGGCTACCCCGAACCCCAGCTTAAACCCTAACACCGCAAAACCCTACGAAGGCCTTCAAGCCAAAAAGGGCCTCTACGGGCCCTAACTTGCCGAAGGCCCGAAAAGGGCCGAGGCTACCCCGAACCCGAGCTTAAACCCTAGCGATTGAAAGACTCATTGGCGAAAAATTCATTAATAGGTTCCCTGACCTTTAAATGAATAAAGCCTCTACGGCCCCTGACACGCCGAAGGTCCGAACAAGGCCCCGAGAGACCCCAAGAGCCACCAAAATACTTCAAAAGGCTTCAAAAGGCCCCCTAAAAGAAGGGGGACCCCAGGATGCCCGTACCCGCAATGAAAAATGCGATTTTTTGGTAGTGAAATCGATGCTTAATTGAGGCCCTTAAAGAAGGGGAATCCAAAAGCAGACACAAAGGGTTTCCCTGACCTTCAAATAAATAAGGGCCTCTACGGGCCCTGACACGCCGAAGGCCCGAAAAGGGCCGAGGCTACCCCCAACCCCAGCTTAAACCCTAACAGCGCAACTTTAAAAACATCAAAGCAAGCATCAGAGCACAAGAAAGTAAATTCCATAAACCCTAAACCCTAATAGAGTATAGTTTGGGTGGCCGGGGTGGGTTGACGGGCAACGCGAGCGCGCGGCCCGGGGTGTTTCACACCCGAGCGCGCGCCCTCCCCTGACACACCCTAAACCCCAAACCCTAAACCCTAAAACCCTAAACCCTAGACCATCCTTGGGGGGCTCTCGGGGCTGCCTGGCTGATGCCCACACCCTACAACAGTCAGTCTCAAGGGTTTGTTCAGTGTTTTGTTTCAAGGGTTTAGGGTTTAGGCTTTAGGGTTTAGGGTTTAGGGCTTAGGGTTTAGAATTTGGGGACTGGCTGGCTCTTTGTAGGGAATGAGGGAATGAGGTACCTTATAGAATCCCTTAAAGGGCATACATAGGGCCCTAATGCCCTCGTCATTCCCCAGTAAGAAGCGGGGGGGGGGGGTAAATTTGAATCAGGGTTGGTATTGTTGCCGTTACA